GCCTTGTCACTCATTGGACGCAGGTGACCACTCCCTCATCCTCAACATACTTTCTTCTCTTGGCTTTCAAGATATTACACTGCCTTGGTTTTCCTCCTAACCCCCTGGTTGCCCTTCTTCAGTTCCTTTGCTGCTTTTCCTGTTTTCCCCAAACTCCTTATGTTGAGATAGGCAGCACTTTTGTCCTAATTTTAGCCTTCTCCTCTCTAACTGCGTTCACTTTTTTGGAAAGTCAGTTACCTCCAGACTTTAGATGCCATCTATTGCCAACACCATTTTATATCCATAGCCCAAACATTTCTTCCAAATCCACACTTGTATGTCCAGCTGCCTTCCTAATGTCACCATATGGATATCTAATAGATATCTGAAGCTTAGCATTTCCAAAACTGAATTCCTGGTTTCCACTTCTCCCCTTATCCACTGTACCACCCCCCACCCCCACAAAAAACCTAATCCATCCAAAGACTTCTCAATCTCAGTTGAAAACAACTCCATCTTTCTGGTGCTCAGGCCGAAAGCCTAGGAGTCATTTGTGACTCCTTTTATTCTCTCACACTTCACATCCAATCCATCTTGTTGGCTCTCTCTTCAAAATGTATCCAGGCTCTGTCCACTTCGCCCATTTCTTCTGCTACCACCCAGCAACATGCTATATTCACCTCTCACTTAGATTTCTGAAATAGCCTCCTAACAGGTCTCCCTTTTTATATCCATGTCTCAACATAGCACCCAGAATGAGTTTTTCTTTTTTAAGATTTATTTTTTTGAGAAAGAGAGAGAGAGAAGGGAGGGGCAGAGGGAGAGAAAACCTCAAGCAGACTCTGTGCTGAGCACAGAGCCCAACACAGGGCTCAGTCTCACAACCCTGAGATCATGACCTGAGCCAAAACCAAGAGTCAGATGCTCAACCAACTGTGCCACCCAGGCACCCCCAGAGTGAGCTTTTTAAAGCCAAAGTCATATGTTATTCCTTTACTCAAAAATCCCTACAGTGGGACCACTGGCTGGCTCAGTTGGAAGAGCATGCAACTCTTGATCTCAGGGTCATGAGTTTGAGCCCCACATTGGGAGGAGAGATTACTAATAAATAAATAAATAAACTTTGAAAAAAAAAATCCCTGGGGCGCCTGGGTGGCTCAGTCATTAAGCGCGTCTGCCTTCGGCTCGGGTCATGATCCCAGGGTCCTGGGATCAAGCCCCGCATCAGGCTCCCCGCTCAGCGGGAAGCCTGATTCTCCCTCTCCCACTCCCCACTGTTTGTGTTCCCTCTCTTGCTGTGTCTCTCTCTGTCAAATAAATAAATAAAATCTTTCAAAAATAAATAAATAAATAAATAATAAAAATAAAAATAAAAAATCCCTGCAATGGTTCCTCTTTCCACTCAGTGAAAAAGCTCAAGTCCCTACAAGGCTTTGCATGATTTGGCTTCTTACTTCCTCTCTGATCTAATCCCTTCATTCTCTTCCCCCAGCCCCACCCCCACCACACTAGACTCCTCGCTCATTCAACAAGTCAGGCATTCTCTTGCCTTGCCCCCCTGTACCTGATATTCACTTGGCCAACTGCCCTATCTCTTTCAGGTCTTGGTTCAGCCCTCACCTCAGTAAGGCCTACACTGGCAGTCCTATTTCACACTGCAACCTGTCTACCCACCCTACTCTTGTAATACTCCTGATCCTTGTTAACCTGCTCTGATTTTAATTTTTTCCATAGTACTTATCACCTTCTAACATACCATATAAATTAATAGTCTATGATATGTGTTGTTTATTGTCTGTCTCTCACTGTTTTGTCCTAAGCACCTATGACAATGCCTGGCACACTGTAGGTGCTCAATTAATGTTTGTTGAATGAACATATGAATCTTTGCTTCTTCCACAGTGCATAACACAGTATATTTATGTGGTAGATGCTCAGAAAATGTTGAAAGATTAAATGAATGGAGGAAAGATAAACTGCTAAGTTAAATGAATTTATGTTCTAGGAAGCTTTGGTTTTATGTGACCCTTTCTTATTTCTCTCTTGATCCCAAATGAAAGCATGTTGGCATTAGTAATATTCTGAATACAACCATATTGATTATGGCTAGTGCTAAGCAATTTTGTGAGTAAGTCAGATATAAACTATAAGGAAATTACTGAGTTGTACTTGGATTATAAGTGATATCTACATAAAGTCAGTGAGGGAGGTTTTATGTATGTGTTCTTACAGGTCAAGATTCTAGTTATCTATAGTATGCCCTTTCGTGCCTTCCTCAACTCACCATGCTGAGTTAGTGTTAGTGTTGCTTAAAAATCAGAAACAGACTCATAAACACAGAGAACAAGCTGGTGATGGCCAGAGGGGAGGAGGTGGGGGCATGGGAAGAATGGGTGAAGGGGAGTGGGAGGAGATACAGGCTTACAGATATGTCATGAATAAGTCACAGGGATAAAAGGTACATCATAGAGAATATAGTCAAAGGTATTGTTATAGCACTGTATGGTCCCAGATGGTAGCTACACTTGTGGTGAGCATAACATAAAGTTTAGACTTTGTCAAATCACTGTGTTGTACACCTGAAGCTAATGTAATATTGTGTATCAACTATACTTCAATTGAAAAAGAAAGTTAGTGTTGCTTAATTTTGGCAGGAAGGTGAAGACGCTTAAAACAATAGAAAACTATTCTGTCACAGTTCTGGAAGACAAAAGTCTGAAATCAAGGTGCAGCAGAGTCCATTCCTTCTTGGAGGCTCAGAGAACTTACATTTTTGAAGAAAAAAATCCAAAAGATAAAATCTTAAAGGGCTTCAGTTTCCATCTGTCTGTGTACTTTGAAACCTTGAAGTCAAATAAATGTTACCAGCTGGTAACCATTCCTTTCAGGCAAAGGCTTTCTCATAAAAATCCAACCAAACTAGTTAGTGCAACCACAGAGCCTTCGGTTCACCAGTTAGCACACATTACACATACTAGGCAATGAGTTCACACAAGACTGCCTTAAACCAGGAATCCTGCACAGAGTGCCACTGAATTTAAAGAGAAGAAACACCATAAAGTGCCTTGTGCCTCTAGGACCAATAAAAAAGATGATGATATGGGAGCCCTTGTTAACCTAAATCTTGGACAAAGAATTACTGAAAAAAGGTTATTAAAACTCTTCTATCCCTGGTATGGTGAGTGTTCTCTGCCTGTTTATTTTGTCATTTATGTGAATGTATCACTTTGGGTAAGTAAAACTCTCTTTTTAGCTTCCAAGAAAATGTATGGTAAATTCCACTCCGTGGGGTTCATATTTTCTATAGTTATGGGTCAACAGTAGTAGAGATTCCCTCGTTGGCTGAGGAAGTGTAATCAGTCATTCCCACTATGCCTGGCTTGTTCGCCTTCACACCCATGCTCTCTGTTTATGATGTTGTGGCCTGCCTCTTTGTCACGACCCAACATCTCCCCTTCTCGGTGTTCCAGACACTTCTCTTACAAGTGACTAAGTTCTTGAGACTTTGTTGTTTTCTGTAAATGGCCACCCTTACCATGACCTTGATTTCCAGCCTGCCCTGAGTACCGGCTCACATTTTCCATACTCATCCTCTTACATGTGCTCAGGGTGAGACCAGAAGCCTTTCCAGAGTGCCATTTTTTTTTTAAGATTTTATTTATTTATTTGTCAGAGAAAGAGAGAGAGAGCACAAGCAGGGGGAGCTGTAGGCAGAGGGAGAAGCAGGCTCCCCGCCGAGCAAGGAGCCCCGTGTGGACTCGATCCCAGGACCCCGGGATCATGACCTGAGTCGAAGGCAGATACTTAACCACTGAGCAGCACAGGCATCCCAAAAGTGCCATTTTTTCATAGTAAAAGCAAATCAATTGATCAGGAGATTGTAAAAGGATACGTTTGTATTTCTAGTACTGAATATAGCACTTAACATATGGGGAGCACTTAATAAAGGCCTTCATCTTTTTGGATGCAGGCCTTCATTATTTTGGAAGTAGGTAGTATATTAATTATAAATAGCCACATTGGGCATTTCCATTTGCATCATATGTGCTGTTAGTAAAATCTGTATCAAGTCTGCCTGGAGAATGTTGGTATGTCATCATAAAGGTAAGCATGATGATAGCCTATGACTAGACAGCCTCATAGGGTAGCATATATGAAAAGGACCATCTCTCACGGCAACAAGGCAACTTATTGCCAAGGTGAAAATCACCCTTCTTTCAGATCCATGAATTATTCTATTCCTTCTTTTTTTGTCCATAACAAACGGTTCACCATTTCTTGAGCAAGTGCTGTGTGCCAGGTGCTGTGCTAGATTCTAGGGATAAAAAGACAAAGACCCCTGGAGCCAGACCACAAGGAGCTAATCTCATGCCTTTCATATGCACCCAGATGGCTCCAGCTTCAAATATGTTCAAGGATTTGGTTTGAAATCATTGACTTTGATGCCTACCACAACCCCGAGGCAAAGCATTTTTCCTGGTATTGCTAAGAAATAACAGTATTTGTAGCATCAATTTTATATATTGAGAATACAAAACCTGGTTTTAAAATTTTTTCATGGCAGGAACATAGTAGCCCTTACAAAAACATTGAAAATAATTTATTTGGTGATTTTAGTAATTCTGTTTAGACAAGGATTTTCCAACACTGGTTTTTTAAAATGATTTCTTGGGTTTCTGCTTGATTTAAAGAAACTTTCGGTTCCTATCAATTCTTTCTGTGGTACCTTTTTTTTTTTTTAAAGACTTTATTTATTTATTTGAAAGAGAGAGAATGAGAGAGAGCACATGAGAGGGGGGAGGGTCAGAGGGAGAGGCAGACTCCCTGCCGAGCAGGGAGCCCGACGCCGGACTCAATCCAGGGACTCCAGGATCATGACCTGAGCCGAAGGCAGTCGCTTAACCAACTGAGCCACCCAGGCGCCCTCTGTGGTACTTTTTATTACAAAAATCCTGTCCATGTTTATTAATATTCCAGGTAATTCTTTTTACTCTCCTCTTCTTGCTTTTCTCATTTTACAGGGTAATGTTTATATGTACTACAAATTGTATGGCTTCTATCAGAATCTCTATCGTTATATTCTATCCAGAAGTAATAGCCAACTGGTGGGTATAGACTTAAAGGTAAGGCTTTATTTAATTTGGTATAATACTCTTTTTTTTTTTTTTAAACGAAGTGGATCTTTAAGTCTAAAAGAGGTTATGGGGAAATAAACTAAAAACCTAAGGTTTTATAAGGCAGGAATGCTCATTTCATTCTTGCATAAATTGAAGGGGCTGGGTATTCAGTGTATCTGCTATTGAGAGGAGTGAATCTTGTCCAGTTAAATGGTTATCCTTTCATGCATCAACCATTTTGATAGTAACCTTGAGTGGGTGGTCTCAGTCCAGTTCCCTGTATATTTACCATTGCCCTTCCTATAATTTGGGCCTTCACTCCAGCCATGTTTAAGGAAATTGAGCTCTACTTGATTGATTAAAAGCCTTTGGTTTAATTAAATAGCCTTTCACTCCTAGGATTATAAAATTTTACTCTTGATAAATGATACTCAGCATGCTAGCAAAAAAACTAGAAGGAAATCTTTTCCAGACTGAGATTATTATATGAAAGTGATAATCGAATGATTTTTTTCTAGCAACCACTCTTTTAAAATATATTCTGCTAGTTAGGTGGATGGATTCCCTGTGATAAGTCATCTAGGGTATAGACTCACTACCATTTGTATCATTTTCAGAATATGAATTACACTTCAATAAAAAAAAGTTTTAATAATGTATTCCGGTGTAGGCTTAGTGTGATATTTAGCAGAGCCCACAAAGTAAGTTCCTTCCTGCAGACATATTTGGTATGAATATGTATTGTTAATAAGGAAAAAAACTATACACACACACACACACACACACACATCTCCAAAACACAAAAATTTCCTAGTCTAAGTGAGCCAGAAGTCTGGGAAAAACAGGTAGCAGTCCATAATCTTGTTATGTGTCAATAAATTAGTGTGGGTTGATTTACATTGCTAGTGTTCTCATTTTTAACATTCTAAGAGAGTTTACCAAAGTATTTCTTTTTACTGTATCATCTTGCTTCCAGGATGTTGGAAACTGTGCTCCATTTAGCAAGTCCCACGATGGGACTCCCATCGCTCCTTGTGGTGCTATTGCCAACAGCATATTCAATGGTAGGTGACTTTTCCTGTCTCCATGGGGTGCCTTTTCATAAGCGTGTAATAACCTAAATGTCCAGAAGATCACCTCTGCAAGTGAGTAGCAGTTCAAAAAAAAAAATAATTGTGTATACATTATCCACTGACTTACGGTATTTCATTTGGAAATAACTTCTCCCTTACCAGAGATTTGAAGTAGTTAGGGAACATGAGCTAAATGGAGCTTGAGAGTATTTTCCAGTAATTGGGGCCTTGGCAAGAAAAAGAATAGTTTTCTAATTCCAACATCTATTGCATGTAGGCATGTCGAGAGTCTGCTAAAACCCTGGTTTATTTTTCAGCTGTGTCTAGTTTTGTACTTTGAAATGGGGCAAAAATGCTTGCTTGCATCTGTAGCACAATTTTTAATTTCCTTACAGATACCATTATTCTTTCATACAACCTTAATTCATCTATACCTATCAAAGTTCCAATGCTAAGAAGTGGAATTACGTGGTGGACAGATAAGTATGTCAAGTTTCAGAATCCAAGTTACATTAATCTTTCTAGCGCATTTGCAGGTAAGACCCATGTATTAGCTAAATATTCTTATCTCTTTATAGAAACTTTTTTATGTATGAGGAAATGTTTATAATACCTCCTTCTTTACTTTTTTGCTGACCTCCCTTTTGCTCTGACTTCCCCTACCTGTGGACACCTCCATCACATACCTATCAGAAACATGAAATGATTGATGCCCTAGTTCCTTTCAGTTTACATTAGGAAAAAGGCAGTGTTTTAAGAAACTTGTTGCTTCATTTATAATTAGGGTGACCATGTAATTTATTGTCCAAGCTGGTGCACTTTTGAGAGTGAAAGGGGGCACTAGAATAACTAAAGTTATATATTTATTTGAAATTTGTATTTATTGATCAATAAGTTGACATTACCATATTGGTGGACCTATAAAATAATTCCATTACAAACTATTTTAAAAGGCAACTCTTTCAAAAGTTAAAATAACCTATCTGTGTATATTAAGCCAACTAAAAAAACTACTTTATTATTTAAACATTAAAAGATAACATAAGCAGAATAATTATTCTGGATATATAGTCACATATTTTAATCAGTTTCTTGGTCATATCTGTCTTCATTGCATGCCCCTGTATTTTTCTAATGAATTTGTTGTTTTTATTATTTTAAAAAATATTTTATTAAAATATTTTTTTCACAAAATTATCTGCAGTCTTTTTTGAAGTTGAACTTTATGGTTAATCAATTTGACACTGTTGGCACCTTTAATTGATTCTTCTCTTTTAACCTAGTATTTTTTTTTTAATTGAGAAGATATCTATAGATGATGAGGTACCTATTACACTCATAGCCAATTTTACTAAATGGAGGATATTTTCATTTTCAATCTTTTTGTATTGAAATATGCTAGTATTATAACCTAAATATTTTCATAGGCACTGTCTTTTTATTTCACATTTTTTTCTATCTCTGATTCTTCTAAGTGTATTCCTATATTTAGATGCTACAAAATCTTAAACCTTCTTGATATCATTTAATTCTGGGAGAGAAAAACATTTTTTTTAAAGATTTTATTTATTTATTTGAGAGTGAGAACGAGCAGGGGTGAGGGGCAGAGGGAGAGGAAGAAGCAGACTCCCCACTGAGTAGAGAGCCCGATGGACTCGATCCCAGCACCCTGGGATCATGACCTGAGCCAAAGACAGACACTTAACAGACTGAGCCACCCAGGCACCCCAGAAAAAATTTTATCCAGTTAAAAATAGGAGCTCCATCAAAAAAGTTTTTACCTAAATTGAAATATTCTAAAGTACAATTGTAGAATTTAAAAATTAAATTTGTCCACATTTTGAACTCTCATTATATAATATGTTCAATTATTCCCTTGTTTTCCTAGGGGTAAATTTTAATATCTTCTTGTTTGCAAGATTGGCTTTCAATAATTACAATTCACTAAATCAAAAACTATGAAGTTTTTTGGCATTCCATATTTTGGATACTTTGTTTAAAATTTTAAAACTATTTTGACTAAAATTCAACAAAAAGTTAGAGGCTCATTTACCAAAAAAGTTTAGGATCATTGTAGGACACACCATTTGGTATACAAAATAGTTCTTCAAAGGCTCAAACATTTCTAAAATTCTGCTGGATGGTGCATAGCAAAGACAGACCACATATACTACCATCCTAAAGTATTTCTTTTATTAATTATCCATATTATTGTAAAAATTTTACAGTTCAGTTTCTTTAACTGTGAATATACAAAAATATTTAAATTTGCACAACTATGGCTCTTCTTTTGATTAGTAAAATATTGTAGCTTGTTTGGATATAATTATAAATTATGTATGTACCACAACCAATTTTAAGTACATTGATCTGTAGATTTCTCAATTTATTAAGAACATTACCTTTGGGGCACCTGGGTGGCTCAGTCATTAAGCATCTGCCTTTGGCTCAGGTCATGATCCCAGGGTCCTGGGATGGAGCCCCGCAATGGGCTCCCTGCTCTGCAGGAGGCCTGCTTCTCCTTCTCCCACTCCCCCTGCTTGTGTTCCCTCTCTTACTGTGTCTCTCTCTGTCAAATAAATAAATAAAATCTTAAAAAAAAAAAAAAAGAACATTATCTTTATTCTGATGCTGTGCTCCACCAAATTTGTATTTATGCTATCACTACAAAACCAAAAACTTACACTTGATTTTTTATTTTTTAGCTGAATTTATAGTAATATTTATTATAATGTTAGAGTTTTTATTTTTCAAGATTGAATATCAAAAAGCTTTGCTTTGATTCCATGAAAGGTCAAACCAAAAAATTCAAACCATTATTATAATTAACTTAACTGATTTTCTATTTTGAAGCATTTGAAGATGCTGATGTGAAACTGGCCTCATTTAACTGTATACAAAGTTCTTTTTGTACTAATGGAGGCAACACAAAGCTTTCCTTTACCAAAAAAAAAAAAAACTAATAAAAAATTGAAACTAGAAGGAAGCTCACTTGATCTAAATGAAAAGTCATGCTCACATAATGACATATAAATACACCTTCGGTAGCTACCTGAGGTAAAGCATTGTCTTTGGATACACTCTTAAAAATAACCACAAATTTCTGAATTAGATTCTGATGTTCTTCAGCAGATTCATGTCTTTTAATTTTCAGTTTGTCATTGACATCACAAATGGTTCCCTTATGCGGTAAATGTCAACCAACACTGCAAGTTTCGCATTCATCAACTTTCTCAAGAAACTGTACTTAATTTTACATTAAACATACATGTTCTATTTTTTAGCTCTTTACAGCTAAAAGGACTTACTAGCAAATAAAAACTGATACCAAACAATAAAATAGTTATATATTTGTACCATATAATAAATAATAAAACCACAGAGTTCAAACCTACACTCAGCAAAACTGTTTAGCATCTATTTCCCACACTATGTTAAGTACGTATAACATAACCTCTTATTTCCCACATTTCCCACTGATCCCACTGACTTGTAGGCTGGCAGCTTCATGCATCTCACAGGCCAACACAGAGGCTATGTCCTAACTGGCTGGAGTGTCAAAAAGCTGGTAGGGGTCACAGGAATATGTTGTGTTTTGATTGAAAGGATCTCTGGTTATCCTTCATTAATCACATGTTAAAGTAAGCATTCCATTCACTGCACATAAGTATTTCACACACTACTAGCTAAGACCATGGCTGGAAGGTGGAAGGATGAAATTATACGTACATTATTTGTTTGGGATAAATGCTAAGTCAGATGGGATAACAGACAACGGACATAAGCTAGGACTATCTTAGACAAACTAGCATTTATGGTCACTGTACCTATGATTGAATCCCTAGTTTTTGAAAGGAAGTTGGGAACATTCTGTTGTTTTCTCTTGCCACATAACCTCAGGCCTACAACACCAAAGGGTCCTTGGTGTTCTCTCATCTCCTGCTACACTCTGTTCTTACCTTTACTGTAAGAGTTAGCACATTATCCTGTACTTATCTGTTTGAATACTTGTCATCCCCACTTCAGTCTGTGAATTACTTGAGGAAATTAGAAGTTTTGTATCCCTGGTGCTTGATACATAGTGAGCAATCAAGAAGTGCTTATTGTTGAATGAATGGATAAATACAAATGACCCAACTTGGAAAAGGAAGAAAGTTGGTGCCTCTTAGATCACACGTCTCATATTCTCTGGAAATGGGATAAAGTGGGATCAGGGCTTGGTAGGGAAAGGCATGCTTAAACTTACATTTTTAACAAGCTCCCTGGGTGATTAGGATGTCAGTGTCTTACAGGACCTGTTGTCTTGGGGCATGAGCTCATGAGAGAGTAAGGTCCACAGTGGAGGTACCAAAGGCAATTTCAATTTTCATCAAAATTCTAGCAACAGTGATTGAAATTTGGGGGGGGGGGGCCAAAATAGGTGAGCTCCACAATATTTACAGAGGAAGTTTCTTCAGCAAAGGATTTTTTCCCAGAGGAAGTTTAAGTGTACAAACATACTTCAACAGATTAATCCAACCAAACTTAGCACTTGCTTTTACAAGTACCATGCTTAGAAAACAGGATGGGTTTCTTTTAAAAGAAAATAGTTTAGTCAATTGAGCTGAGAAAGAGTGGTTTCCTCTTTTGCATTTGGATTCTACAAATAGTAGAAACAATTGTCTAGAACGAAAAAGTTCATTAAACAATTTTCTCTTACTGACTCATTCTTTAAAATTCAATATGGATTTTATTATCTTCTGTCAGCTTTCATTGGAATCACTCATTCCTTTAGCAAGCATTTATTGAATGCCTGCCATGTGTCAGGCACTAGACTAAATGCCAGTGGAAAAAAGACACTGTACTGAAGAGTATGCTGTATAGTGGGAGAGACAGACAAGCACACTGAGCTAAAGTGGGAAGTATGAGAACGAAGGTAAACTCAGTAGACTCCTTCCCTGGCACTGGCCTTCCATCCTGTGCTTCCAACATCCCTACAACACCCAAACCTGTGAGGCCTCCTATCTTTAAAACAGGCTTATGGGTATTAAAGAGGGCACGTTCTGCATGGAGCACTGGGTGTTATACACAAACAATGAATCATGGAACACTACATCAAAAACTAATGATGTAATGTATGGTGATTAACATAACATAATAAAAAAATAAATAAATAAAAATAAATAAAACAGGCTTATAACACCTTTGCTGTCTGCCTCTTCCCCTTTATCAGTTCCTCCTCCTTACTTCCAACTTTGAGCTCTTAAGCACATTGCTGCAGAGAATATTTAACATAGTCTTCATGCACATATATGATTATTTCCTTAGAATAAATTTCTAGAAGTAGAATATCTAGGCCAAAATATGTGCAAAATATATTAAAGCTTTTGATGCATGTTCCTAGATTGCCAGTGATATTATTAATCCACACATCTCTCTGCTCTGCACAAGAGTTCCTAGTTCCACTGCATCATCAATTGTTGTCACCTTTTTTTCTTTACCTATTACCCAAGTTTTAGATGAAATGATCATATCTTGTTTTAATTTCCTGTCTTTA